TTTTTAATACAGTTGCCAAACTCACCCAGAGCCATAGCTCTTGTTAAAAGGGAGTTTTTCCTCTCCACTGTCGCTACAAGAATGCTTAGTGTGAGGGATTGCCTTTGAGTCAATGAGTCGAAGCAATCAACTGGTTTTCCTTAGATAGAAAACAGTTTGACGGCATGATATGGTGAACTTTAAAGTGCCTTGAGATTACATGTGATGTGAATTGAATTGAACTGAAAGGCCACAGGCCAATGGAGGAAAATGAGATCCAGTTCTTATTCGTGGCTCCACCTCACAACAAAAAAAACCTTGATGAGGTCAGGCCTCAGAGGCAGTTTGAATTCTACAAACCACAAAATGTAACGTACATCAGAGAGGAGACAGCAGAGCTGAAGAGAGCAACGCTGAATAAAAGGATGATATGAGAGGATGGGGGAGGGCGGGTGATACAGAGAGAGAGAGAGAGAGAGACAGAGAGGCTTCGGGTTAAAAAGTAAAGAAGTGAGAAACGCAGCAAAGCAAAAGGAATAAAACAAAGAGGAAAAATAGTACTGATAAAAGGAAAACTGCTGCTTCACTGGTGATCACAGCTCTTTTAAAAAAAATAACAACAAAGGAAAGTATTGAAGACCAAAGAGGAACATTTTAACCATGATGCTGAAGCTGTTGTTTCTGCTCTGCTTCCTGGGTGAGTTTACCTCAATTGCAAACCGACTGTTGCTCTCTGCGTCTTTTAGTTTCCCTCAAAGCTTTAATTAGGCTTAGAAAGATGCTTCCTCATGTCTAATTTGAAACTTTCACTTCTCAAATTCATTTCAGTGAAATGATGCAAGAAGGTTACTTCATATTTTGTGCTTTGCGATCCTGGTACGTCGTCTTTTGGACTTAAATATGCATTTGCATGATTTTCTACGTAATTAATGAGTCATTTTAATCATGCATTTCATACAGAAAGTAAGTTGCACTGCAGTAAATGTATGTTTCTTCCAAGAAGAACTTTTATATTTTTAATGTGCAAAGTGTAAACGTGCTAAAATGTGGCATGAGCTTATATTCTGTTTAGGAGGAAGCAATAAAATGTCTAAATTTATTTGGCATCTCAATATAGGACTAGCTTCTTCCAGGTCATTTTTTAAGTATATTTTTTTCACTTATTTATTTCCCCAAAACAGATGAAAAATTTTAGATTTGAGAAGTTGTGCCATATAAATGACTGCTATGATAACTTCCTAAAACTATAGCTAAATGTATAAAATTTAGTACGACCAGACATTTGCATGTTTCCAGAGTTAAAAAAGCCAAGGAAAATTATAAACTTCAAAAATATTGACCTTTTGATCTGAGGCTAATTAGCTGATGACTATGATGCTCTTTGGTTCACCACCCGCTAAATAACTTACCTGTTAAACCAAGTGAAATAAACAGTTGATAACACTAAAATAAAAATGTAAGGTTGTAGGTTAGCAGTGTTACACTAAGATAAGTGTACATTGTTGTTTGCAGCCGCCATGTCTGGTCATGAAGGCTGTTCAGAAGCATAATGGGTGTGGGAGTTGGGACACAGTGACATATTACAACAACAGTTGTTTGTTTTTTAAGGTCTAAATAAAAACACAAAGTTGAGCCACCACTGCCTGTGTTCACTTCAACCACAGTTTAAATGTGTTATAAGCTCCATCTTCATCTCCATACAGCATTGCTTTTTTGGCATCACTTTCAGCTTAGAATTTAAAGCTATTATATTCTTATATATCAAACTGAAGTTAAAGAGCGATGCATTAACAGGATATCAATACAATCTAAACATCAACTTTAAGTTTTGCAGCATATAAAATAAAATTCCAATGTGATCAGACTTCTAACACCTCTTTCACACATTTTATGTGAACATTTGTTTTTTTCACACATCTGAAAAGCAGCTACATTGGCAAGCAGCGTGTGACGGTCCACCATTACCAGTAAAAGCTATGCATGCATCTGTACATCACATTTCATATTTCTATCGTAAAGGCAAGCTAGGACATTTCTTAAAAAATCTTTTTCTACCTTGGCACATGTCCTTGAGGATTAGATCAAATTCAGGGATAGATCTTGGACTTTTATCTTTGTTTGTAATTAAAGTATGCGAGGAGGGGGGCGATGGTGGCTCAGGAGGGAGGGGTCTCCCTCTACAGTAAACAGTGAGTTGTCAGGTCAAACCCTTGCTTCAACTGTCTGGGTGGCGGTGGTCCTTCCTGCATCTTGTCTCCTGTTGGTGATCATGACTGTATAATAGCCTTGCTGCCAGGGCAGCGGTGGCTGCATTGTGGCTTATCACCATCAACGTGAATAATTGCGTGAGAAGAGCGTTGGAGTCCTCAGACTTGATAAAGTGCACTAAAAGTAGTGCAAAATATACTTAAAAGTGCATCGAGAGCACTACCATTGTTGCTACAGTTGTGTATTTATTTATTTGGATTAATTACAGCCCATGCTTCTAAGTTACAGATTTGATAGTGAAAATAATTAGGACTATGCTTGTAGTCAGTTTGAAAACTGAACAAAAAAGAAAGTCTGATGGGAGGAGATACACAGAAATCCAGGTCGTAGGGTTCTAAGCATAGCTTCTTGTCTCCTCTCTAAACCCAACTATTATGTTATATCCTTTAGTTACTAGACTCATTTGTCTAAAGTTTGTCCATTTTGAGTCTTTCTAGTATTCAGAAACATTTCGATATATTCTCGATGCAGCCACTCATTGTGGGACACATCTAGTACCAGCCAAGAAAATACAGTCTAATGTTTTATATGTTTCCACAGTTAAGAGATATTAATCCAGTTAAAATGTAACACACTAATAGCATTACATCAATAGTTTACTTGCCCTTTTCTTATTAAGCTAACCTTTATGATCTCTCTTTTATTTCTTTCTTTTTATGATATATTTGCAGAAACCTCAGCTCAAAAAAATACAACAGAACAGAACATGGTCACACAAGGTAAAGTTTTTTTTCATATACTCTGTTAATCATGGATTAGTGTCTTTTCCATCCATCCATCCATCCATCCATCCATCCATCCATCCATCCATCCATCCATCCATCCATCCATCCATCCTATATACCTTATTAATTTTGGAAAAATCATTGTTTTCCTTTGGTCACTCCAATCCTTTCTATCATTGCAGCCTTGCTTTATTTCATGTCTCCACTATTTGGGTAATTTTTATTTTGGGAGAAGCTCCAAGCCTTTCTGGTTTCTTATCTGGTTCAAGTCAGTACTCTCAACAGGAAGCTCCAAACTATAATCAACTACTATTAATGGCTGACAGTCCTCCAAATATTGACACATGCCACAAATCCCCCAAAGGTTTATGCCTATACCTCCTGATTATGCTCCAACTTCTCTATTAACTCAATGTAAAGATGAAGCTCTCTATTTCAAGCTCCATGTGGATCAGAGATCTCCTCTCCTGTCTCTGGAGCCTTTCAGATTCTTTCAGCTGATCTATGGCTGATCTGACTTTGGCACTCAAAAGGTTTCAAAACCAGACACTTAGCTTTCCACTACTTCACAATGAGAATCTGCGTGCAACTTGACTGAGAATATACCATAACCCACAGATTCCCCTGTGGGTCACCAAGTAAAAAGTGCTAAGGTGATCTCCACATCAACATTAACATTTAGAAATGATTACACCATAATTATAAAAAAAATTATAAGGTATTTGGGTTTTAATTTGAACTTTAATTGACAGTTTTCTTTATGACCAAATGCTTCAACAATGAGTTCAATAGGTTGCTTAAGTGTAAAAACAATTAACCAACATGACCAGAGAATTCCCTGATGTAAATCAAAATACCCCAAATCCTTTGAACTCACTTGATAAGATAAGGTAGTGTGTTGTTTCGTATCCAGCAGTGGAGGGATGTTTTGAAATCTTTATTTATTTTGGATTTATAGACAGACTGTTTAGGCAGTGTCGGCAATCGAGTGCATCCCTGCTTCAACACACCTGAAACAAAAGGCCAAATAAGTTCCTTGGCATGTTGATAAGTTTAGAGCAGGGGTGTCAAAGTGGTTCCAGAAAGGGCCGTGTGGCTGCAGGTTTTCTTTCCAACCAAGCATAGCACACCAGACTCATTCATCTCATGAAGTCATCATGTTCAGATTGGACTCACTTGATTAGATGACTGGAGTCTGGTGTGCTATTGCTTGGTTGGAAAGAAAACCACACGGCCCTTTCTGGAAACACTCAGACACCCCAGGTTTAGAGGATGTCTGGCCATTTACCATTCATTGGTTCCAGCTGGGGATGCTCAGTGGCGCAGTGGGTAGCACTGCTGTCTTGCAGCAAGAAGGTTCTGGGTTTGATTGCCAGCCGGGGTCTTTCTGCATGGAGTTTGCATGTTCTCCCTGAGCATCCGTGGGTTCTCTCTGGATACTCCAGCTTCCTCCCACAGTCCAAAAACATGACTGTTAGGTTAATTGGCTTCTCTAAAGTCTCCTTAGGTGTGAGTGTGTGCTTGAATGGTTGTTTGTACTGTTTGTCTCTATGTTGCCCTGCGATGGACTGGCAACCTGTCCAGGGTGTAGCCTGCCTCTCACCCGTAGACAGCTGGAGATAGGCACCAGCACCCCTCGTGATCCCACTTAGGATAAGCATGTAAGAAAATGGATGGAGGGATGGGTCCAGCTGTAATGAAGAGAGGATGCATGCAAATGTGGCAGAACACTGGCACTTAAGGGCCGACATTGCCAACCTATGCTCTTCAACATTCATACAGTTTGGACATTATGAGGATCTTGATTTGGGGACCTTCTTAAAAAAAATGTTTGGATAACTTTTGTCTCTACCACAGGATCTGATTATGTCTCGACAACAACAGCAACAATGGAGGCGACCAGCTCCAATATGACAACAGATGAAGCTACCAATACATCAGTGTCAACTCTACTGACATCCACAACCTTGGCAGACAAGTCACTGGAATTAGAATCAACACCATCAGTAACTGTGGTAACAAACCTGATTTTATTTAATTTAATGGATGTAGCTAAAAACGAGAACATCCTCTGAGGTTTAAATGAGTGAAATATAAGTTGATGAGCTCAATCAGCGCTGCGTGTAATTGTCCCTGCATCATTGCAGTATTAACTCAGCAGTGGAAAAGAACTTCTATGATATTTGACAGCATGTTTCGTGTATAGTGGCCAACTCGCTTTATGTTAACATCCACCTGTTAGAAAAAAAAGAAAGACATTTCTGCCATGAATCTCAGCAGTATTTTAAGGAGTCATGCTTTTGGATAGGATCAGGTATGTACATCACAAGATCAACTCATTTTAGGTGTTGTGGATATGAAGATAGACGTATGAAGGTTTGGACAAGTACTGTTCAAAGGAGGAATAACAAGTAGATTGGTACAAAGATGATGAGGCCGTAACTGCAAGGCAGGAGGCTTAGAGGTATAACAAGGGGGAGAATTATGGATGTCATTTAAAAGGACATGAGGGTAGACGGTGTGACTACTGGGTAAGATTTGACATATGCGCTTTGACTACAAATAAATAATAAAATTGAAAGACGAAGAGGAAGAAGAATTTTAGTACCTCCCTAGTAGCCATGGCGCTAAAACCTCATTAAGAGTGACGGAGGGACTGTATTGAAAAAAAACTGTCGTGTGAAAATATTGTAAGTTTATTTTAAGCAATATTATCATCACAATGTTAAACAATGTTTAATGCATACCAAAAATGGTTTAACCATGCATTCAGTGGCTACTGATAACAGACCCTAATATTGATTATACTTAAAAGGGCAATTCTCTATTGCATTTGAGACAAAAAATATTTTCTTCAAGCTCTACCTGTTTTCAATATTGGGTTTCACCGGAATAGCAATATGTTTATTTTGTATCTTTTCAATTCTTTATTTCTTCTTTTAAATATCAACAAGCATACATTTAAAAGATTATGCTGTACCTTTAATTTAACTGATTCTTTGTTTTTATTGTGCATGAAATTGATTTCTCATAGTAAATAAAAATTCCTACCCCAGTGAGGGTAACAGCTGTATAATGTCGATTTTTCTCCTCAAGATCTCATTTCAGATTTCATATGTAGCAGCCATCTCTGTCATCAGCAGACAAAAAAAAAATAATGCTGGACAAAAAATAAAAGAATGCAATAGCTGCAAACTTATAGGAAAAGGTAAATATCTTTAATTATGAAAAAAGAGTTCATTTAAGCCTAACTTTGCTTAATATAAACAGTGAAGCTAATGTCAGCTTAGCTCGTGCAAAGTTCTAGATTTAACATTAATCATATAGAACATGTTGCTATTTCTGGCAGAAGTCTTTATGACTGTTTAATTATGACCTCAATCAACCATTTTTAACTCTTTAGGTCAACAATAATTAACCTGTAAATGCTTTGCTAACTTTATGAGCCACAAACAGGGAAACTCTGCTGTTTTATTGAAAAACATTTTGTGAAACGCTGTTTACTTTTTCATGTTGGTTTCACCCTCAGTGACAAAATCTGACATGAGCACAGATAAAACAGGTCAACACAAGAGAAAGAGAGAATCTACAGGCGAATAACAAAGCTAGGCCACAAATGCTGAGAATGAGCAAAAATTCAAGCCCCTGTCATGGTATGAAATATAAAAGACAGAAAAAATACTAATACAGTCCAAATACACATTAAAAATATACTTTGAGTGTAGTTTACATGTGCATGTTTTAAAGAAAACAGTTGTATGAGTATTTATTACAAGTGTCCTTTAGCAGAATCTGGACTTCATATAAAACCATTAAAGTTTAAATTGGTTTAATCTGCAGGGCTAGTTGATTGTTTGCATCTCCATTCTGCTTTAATCCAACATTTTATTCTTTTCGCCTGGTAAGCTGGCTTATTTCCACAATATTCAAATAAAAGGTTACAGCTTCTTCAGTCAGACCTCTAAAGGGCGGGGTCCTTTTCAAATTTTCAAACAAAAGAGGAAGCAAACTGTGCGCTATATTAAGATCAAGATATTGAAAAAGGGTTTCTAGATGTGCTACTGACCAAATCTGTTTTTACTATGCAAGTTATAGTCGGAGTTACACATCACCTGCAATAAAAATGACTGCAGGAAAATCAATGTAGAATGTGATTCTTAACCTCAAATCTTTACATAACTGTGTCTAAAAGGTAGCAGTGGCTGTTTAGAAGGTGTTTATGAAGTGAAGTTAAATTCAAATGTTCTTTAAAAAGCAGTGTATATGTAAACTTACTTAATTCAAACCAACACTAGGTCTACTGCTCTAGAAAAACTCCAGACAGGAAATGTGAATTTGGGTTATAGTGCAAAGCCCACTATGAATGTTCAGACCTTTATGGGCAGAGAAAGATTTCAGATTATCTAATGCCTTCAAATGTGAAACTATAACATTTATTTAATGTAAAACATACAGTAAAAACTAAGTAATTTGTTTGTGTTTTTTCTTGAACAATCAAAGGAAGAAGGAGACAACAAAGACTCAGCCGTTACTACGCCTTCAACTACAGCAGGTACTTCTACAGTTTCATGCAGGTTGCATGTTCATGCTCTGCCTTACTTTGCCTTCCTGTGCATCAAACCACAACCCCTCACACGGCGGTGTTCTGTCTAACTGCACGTCAGGAGCAACACAAATACATTTAAATACAGCTAGTTTCATTCAATGCACAACCGCCTCAAGTTAGGGGACAGAAACATCCCCAGAGATTTTTACCACTTGGCCTTCCTCCTCTGAAGACAGAGAGATGAATGATAACCTGATTTAACTTGTTACTAAGGAGATATTTATGTACAAAGTTGTTTTTCTTGTCAAATGGAATGGAGGGAACATATCCAAAGGATATTCTGATAAAAATGTAAGGCAAAAACAATTTTCATACTTTTTTTTGTGTGTGCTTCCTGCCTTTTTGATCATATCTTAACGTGATGGTAGGGTAGCCATAGTTAGGCAGAGAAAACCTCAAACTTCAAAATGACAGCATATTTAGCTTCATTTAGGAAAACAGTCATATACAACCACAGGTGTGGTTGATATGGTGGCAAGTATTGCTGGTGATAACAGAGTAACACTATACGGTTTCTCAGAGATTAAGATAAATGCAAAAAACAGGACTAGAAGTTAGTATTTTCATAAGTATCTGACATACAAAACAGCATTGGGTTAATTAAATCTCTTCAGCATTGGTTAATTGGCTACAACTGGATGGTGTGATGGATGATCCACCATCAATCATTGACTTTAACCAAAAATCCACCCTTTTCACCATAATACAACATTAAATTAACAATGATAATGGTGATTACCATTATTATTACTAATAATAGCTTAGTGGCTCTACTAGTCGTGTAGAAAGGAGAGATTTTGGGTTTGATTCCAGCCCCCTCTCAACAAACTGCAATAGGCCTCTGGGCCATGCATTTGACCCAAAGTTGACTACATTTTTCTCTATAGTGTTTTTTTTCCCCCTTTTTTTTTTTTTGAAGTGACATCCATAACAGCAAAGCAGATCAAAGCTAAAGCTATAAATAAAAAATGGCTATTAAATTAATTTTATATGTTAAATAACCAAATCTTTTCTTTTTTTCAGCGGCTGCCCCTGCAGGTAGTCCAACTTGGGGTAAGGACGACTTTTATTTAGTGTTTCTTTTGACACCTTTGCTATTTTACATTTTACACTTAGATCAGATAAATATTTTACCAATGACAAATTCATTTCCAGTGAGTCAAATATGAGGTGGATTGTCACAAGTGTGTAACTCTGTGATGAAATTGGCAAAGAACCTTTGAACGCTTTCATTAGTTGTTTGTACTTTTCCAAAAATGAGCCTAAAATATGTTACATTTAATGTACAGCATAGCACTTTTTTCCTCTTAAAATGTCTTTTAAACTCTGGGACTTATTAAATTTTATGTTGCATCACTGTAAATCTGTTTCATCTTCAATGAATAGTGACTGTCAGTGGTATTAAATTTTAAAGTGACAGATCCAATGATGATACACTGATAGGCGAGGAAAAAAAACACTGACTGGAAACGGTTTGAACACAGACTGCTGCACCCGTCCAGAGTTAGTTGGAAATTCTTGATGGGAACTGTCCCCTCCAGGCCAAAGGTGGTGCGGACATGTCCACACCAGTCCTTCAGAAAGTTAGGCCTGTAGATTATGACCTGTTGGATGTAAAGCCAAGCACCAATGTGAATTGGAAACAGAAAAAAAAGTAGTAGTCTGTGAAACATGTTGAGCCAATTTAGTTGTTTGTTGTTAACAGTTAAAAGTTAGATCAATGTCACTTAGGACATCAAAGAGGGTATCATTAAAAAATTGCTGTCATGAAAAGGGGTGGCAGTGGATAGTAAAGTCTGGAGGTCCCTAGAGTATGCTACTGTAAATGACCCATTAATAGGAGGCGTCCTGCTTCCTCTTCCTACCTTCTTCCTTTCTAACAGCACTAATCCGACAGCCTTCATCAATGGTAATCTTTGTAGTAGTTCCAACTTGGACTAAGATTCATGCCCTGTATGATGACGTGTTGTAAGATGGTGCAACTAGTGCTTCAACTAACAATTATTTTGCAAATCGATTAATTTGTTGATTATTTTTTCAATTAATCTACTAAAAATCAGATAGCAAGGGGTTCCTTAAAAAAGATGTTTTACGAAATTAAACAAGGTCAAACTAAAACTTTTCCTCTTGAGGAGTTCTGAATAGAACATACTGACAGACCATTTTTTTTTTTGTAATGTTAAATCAGAATCAGAAATACTTTAATAATCCCAGAGGGAAATTACTTTTGTTACATGTTACACGCTCCAGTTACAGTTTTATATATATACACACACATCCAACTACACAAGATAATAAAGATAAAAAAATAAGAATAAAAAGAGATAAAATATATACACATATGGCTCTTCCATATATATATATATCTATGTGCATATGCATATGTAAAAACTAAATCCAAATAAAGTGAATATCCAACTAAAGCGGTAAATCAAAGTAAAGTAATATGTGGCATGCAAAAATATTGCATAAATGTCTGAATCACTTGAGGGAGGTGTTATAGAGATTGATGACCACAGGTAGGAATGATTTCCTGTGGCACTCTGTGGTGCATCTGGGTAAGAGGAATGCAAAATGTTTACATATTATTATTTTTTTTTTACCATCTGCTCTAAGTGGGTCGCTCTGTCAGCTAAAGGCATGTTTTAGAGTCTCTGTACTCTTAATTATGATTAATCAATTACTAAATTAGTTGCTGATTATTTCAATAACTTATTAATCACGATTAATCAGACTAATTGTTCCAGCCCTAGGCTGAATTAAAACTAAATTGAACAGCCAGCATAGAATCCTGACCTTTTGGGTGTCAACACAACCTTGTAGAAAATGCTTATAGAACAACTATAAACATGTAAAAGTAGACATCTATATGGTTTAGATGCACATAAGAAATTATAAATGACCTAAAATTCTTCTGTCATTAAATTTATTTGATTTAGCTCAAAAGTTTGGAGAACTTCAAAAAGTTAGATTTCATGTTTCTAACTGCCAAGCACCCTGGAGTGGTAGTATTGATAAACATAAAACAGTTCAAATGTATTCATAACAATGCAAGTTTGCACCTCCCATGCAGAATACCTATCTTTTAATTTCTTTTTATCTAAAATAATGTTTCAAAATGATTGTATGATATGCTGTAGATCATTTGGTTGGGAAAAATGTAAAACCTCTCTTTTTTTTCTCTACAGCTTATGTGCTCCTGGTGTTGATAATCATTGTGATCATAGTGCTGTGTATTATCCTTTATATGCTCAGGAGGGCATCCAGGGTGAGGAACCAACACATTAATCTTTGTTTCCTTTAAGAAAGCCTCACACAATGATGCTAAAAGTATTTTCTGACTAAAATGTGTTTCTCTGGTCCGTTTATATATCAGATGTATTCCTTTGATCTCCAGCGTCCGGTACACTCTGGCAATGTGTACGAGCCCTCTGGCACCTTTGGACAGGTCTACTTGGATGACCTTGGTAAGTCTGTACCTAATAACCTCCATCCATTGTCTAAAAACGCATAACAAATGCTTGGTTATGTTCGTGTTCACTTTTCAGACCGACCTTCCCATAAAGATGTGATCTCTGATGATCTCTCCACCACACCCATACCCAACGGCACCAGTTCCCAACTGGAGGAGAAGGCAGCCGATGAGGAGAATGGTACCAATATTTGGCTGTTGTTAAGCAGTTTAACTCTAAAGCTCATAGTTCTATAGATGTAAAGGACAATTTTTTCTCTGCCTTTAAGTAATTGCAAAATTGACAATGTTACTTTGACCATAGCATTAGAAGTTTTATTTATCACAGGAGTTATAAGAGTCAAT